GGGCTTATATAAGACAATGTGTTTATAGATGAAGGATTCTATATAAATATAAAAATATGGAATTGGGCATCATGCACAGTGATCATTTTCTTTAATTAAACAAGCAAAAATTCCACTGTTAACCAGGTATATACAGCATACATACAGGCTTGAGCCAATTTGTGTCAGGTTAGACCTGAGTTTCAATTTTGGCTTTTTGAACTCACTGTGTGACTTGAGGAAGGTTATTTAATCTCTCCCAGTTTTGGTTCTTTTTGTGTGTGAAGTGCTTTTACATGGTTTTAAAAGTTTTAAAATGCCTGTCTTATTTTGCAACTTACTTTTAACTATATAAAAGTAAGATGGATTGATGAATAGATATGGGATAATGTACATATAGTAATATCCCATAGACTGTGGTTGATTTATTCATGGAACATTTCAAGTTTTCTATATGTTGGAAAATTTTTATAATGTTAGAATAAATGCCTGTATTGCAGGCTTGTTAGGATTAGGCAATATAAAATTTGAGAAGTGTCTGGCATGTAATAAGTGTTCAACAAATAGTGGTTGCTAAAAGTACTTCAGGGGAGAGATATACTTTGTAACATCAATAACATGATAAAGCAATTTATGAAATATTTAAAAGGACATCTCAATTTTACTGGTCTCCTTCGCTCCATAACAACTGCATCAGAATCTCTGGGATATTGTACATGGGCTTAACTTTTTATCTCTTTGTTCTTCCCATCTCCCCTTCTGTTCTTCTCTCCTTCCCTGGGTATTATAAAGTGCAGCGAGGGCTGAGAACTACTGATGGGAGGAGGAGAGGAGTGGAGGAGCAAGTAAAGGAGAAAGATCCTCCTCAACACCTTCCCAAGGTTTGGCATTGCATAAGACCCCAGAACCAGTTAGGGGAGCCCCAAGAATATAACCAAGATTGATTCCCCATTCCTTCCTCGCAGAAGTAGCTGTATCTACTTTTTCTTCTTCTTCTTCTTCTTCCTTTTTTTTTTTTTTTTTTTTTTTTTTTGAGACAGAGTTTTGCTCTTGTCACCTAGGCTGGAGTGTAGTGGCACTGTCTTGGCTCACTGAAACCTCCGCCTCCCTGATGCAAGCAATTCTCCTGACTCAGCCTCCTGAGTAGCTGGGATGATAGGTGAATGCTACCATGCCCAGCTAATTTTTATTTTTATTTATTTATTTTTTGAGATGGAGTCTTGCTCTGTCACCAGGCTGGTGGAGTGCAGTGGCGCAATCTCGGCTCACTGCAATGTTCACCTCCTGAGTTCAAGCAGTTCCTCCACCTCAGCCTCCCGAGTAGCTGGGACCACAGGCACATACCACCATGCCCAGCTACTTTTTGTATTTTTAGTAGAGACGGAGTTTCACCATGTTGGCCAGGATGGTCTTGATCTCTTTACCTCATGATCCACCCACCTCGGCCTCCCAAAGTGCTGGGATTACAGGCATGAGCTACCGCGCCTTGCCTAATTTTTGTCTTTTTAGTAGAGATGGGGTTTCACCATATTGGTCAGGCTGGTCTCGAACTCCTGACCTCAGGTGATCCACTCGCCTCATCCTCCCAAAGTGCTGGGATTACAGGCATGAGCCACTGCGCCCAGCCCACTCTTTATTATATACGTTTAATGTCTGACTCCAAGGTCTCCATCAAATTCATTTTGTATTCTCACTGCCTCTTAGCACAGTGCCTGCTACACACTAGGTTTCCAATAAATGTGTGAAGGTAGAAAGAAATGAGAAAGGAAAGGGTGACATAGGAAGAAAAACTGTGCCATAAAAATGTTCATGGTCTGATATTACCAATCCTGGATATTAATCTGAAGAAAATAATAAAAAGGAAGGAAAAAGCACATAGTACAAAGCTTGTTTCATAGTGAATGTTAGCTATGGTAGCTGTCTCTGTATTTTTACTGTATTTTTATTTATATGTAATAAAAATTGGCAGTAAGTTATCCAGGAATAGGGGAGAAGTTAGATAAATATGAATACTTAATGTACTACCATGTACCCATTAAAAACTAAAATAATGCAGGCCAATAAAGGTAAGGAAAAATACTTAATACATTTTAAAAAGCAGAAAAAAACTGTATAATTACAACTATTTATATATATGACAGAAGCCTATACTATTATAACGAATGTTATAATCATAGTTAGGGAAATAGCATTCTAGGTGATTTTTCCCAATTTCCTACTTTTTATAATGTTATTATATACATTTAACAATTAAACATTTTTGTAGGCTAGCAAATGCCAAATGTAAAGGAAAATGGATACTTTCACAAACCTCTGGTAGGACAGTAAACTGGTTAGACCTTTCTGAAGGGCAATTTGGCAATATATATCAAGCAATTCCATTTTTAGAAAGGTTTCCTAAGGAAATAATTAAGAATGCATGCAAGGATTTAGCTACAAGAATATTCCTAAAAATATGAAATATTGTTGCAAATAGCAAAAAATTAGATGTTTGTCTCCCTTACTTGCTCCATTAAATAAATAATGGTATGTATATATTAAAGGATATTATGTAGCTCTTAACATGTGCTTAAACACTTAAGGTAATGTTTTAAGTAAAAAAAGATTATAAAAGAGTACATACATTATGATTACATTAAAAATGTGTGTGTGTGTGTGTGTGTGTGTGTGTGTGTGTGTACATAAAATGGTCTCAACGAATATACACCAAGGTGTTAAACAGCTTATCTTTATTCATCTTGCTTTGGTAATTAGAAAATAAATTAATTTTGTACAAACAGACTTATCAAGCCTCAAATCTACCCTAAGGTAAGTCACCATTATATCAATATGCAACATGATAGTACAGTTGTCTCTTGGTATCTGTAGGGGATTGGTTCCAGACTTCTCTTGGAGAAGTAGAATCACACACATGAACTCAGCCCTCCATAGCCAAGGGTTCTGAGTCCTGAAAATACTGTTTTGTCTTATCTTTTTTTTCTCTTCTATTCTCTTCTCTTTTTCCTTTTTTTCTTTTTTTTTTTTAAAAAAGACAGGGTCTTGCTCTGTTGCCCAGGCTGGACTGCAATGGTGTAATCATAGGTCACTGTAACCTCAAACTCCTGGGCTCAAGCAGTACTCTTGCCTTGGCCTCCCAAAGTACTGGGATTACAGGTGTGAGCCACCATGCCCAGCCAGAATATTACATTTTCAATCCAAGGTTGGTTGAATCCAAAGATGCAGAATGCACAGATAAAAAGGGCTGACTGTAGTTTTAGGCAAAAGTAAAAATGGGCCAGGCATGGTGGCTCACGCCTATAATCCCAACATTTTGTGAGGTCAAGGCAGGTAAACCACTTGAGGTCAGGAGTTTGACCAGCCTGGCCAACATGATGAAACCCCATCTCAACTAAAAATACCAAAAAAAAAAAAAAAAAAAAAAAGCTGGGTGTGGTGGCACACACCTGTAGTCCCAGCTACTCGGGGGCTCAGGCAGAATTGCTTGAACATAGGAGACGCAAGTTACAGTGAGCTGAGATCACACCACTGCACTCCCGCCTGGGTGGCAGAGGGAGACTCCAACTCAAACCAAAAAACAAACAAACAAAAGTAAAAATGAAACATTTCATTAAATTTGAAAGACATCTACAAAAATGACCCAGCACCTCTTTGTAAATACTATTTTTGAAACCCTTAGAAATATTATGACACAGCTTAACTTATAGCTGTCAGATATGAAGGCAAATAAACCAAACATTAGCCATGATTCTGAGCACCAGCACAAAGTAGCATTAATAACCTCATTAATAATTGCAAGTGATTATAAAATATAATTCCATACTGTTGTATAGTGACTATGTTTTGTTTCTCTTTGCTTGATACATACACTGTCTCTGGATTTATGCATCAGGATGCCATGTTACTGCTCCAACTTACTGGGACTATACACAAATTTGTTGAATTAGATACATTTTGTTGAATCTTAAGTGTCCAAAAATCTATTTGCCGTAGTATTTGCTCTCAAGGTTTAAACAGTGATTATGTTTTTGTTGAATCTTAAGTGTCCAAAAATCTATTTGCCGTAGTATTTGCTCTCAAGGTTTAAACAGTGATTATGTTAAAGAGCTAATTATCTTATCTATAATTAGAAGCTAGTCCAGGAAAACATTTCTCGGTATGGGTTGATTAGGATGAAATAGTTTGAAATAGTTTAGGGAAGTGGAGAAATATAAGTAGAGTCACGGTATATAGAAGAGCTTAACTTATACAGAGGAGCTGCAGTTTAGTGTGATTTCAAGCAAAGAGATGAGGCTAGATAAGCAGGTGCAGACCAGTTAATTGAGAACATTATTTACCATCTGAAGGACCTTAATCTTATAGAAGATGAGGAGCCATCATGTAGGGTTTAAACTGGGTAAAGAAATAATCAGTTTTGTTAGATTTGCGTTCTAAGATTACTCTGCTATCACCAGTGGCAGTGCATAGAGGATGGATTAGGTAAACGTAAAATTAGTTTCCAGTGGAGTTGGTATTTGTCCTATTAAGAGCTTAAAAACTTTTCTCCTAGAAGCCAATGTTACAGCTGCTGAATACTAATTCCTTGAAGGGAGAGTTAAAATAGTCTAGTGAAAAGAGATGAGAGACAGACAGACTACATGATAAGTTGAAGTTTGAGTCATTGATATATCTTCTTGTAGAATGGTAGTAACTCTTCTTTAATTAGTAGTTTTACAACTAGGACTGGAAGCTTGATAGTAGTGTCTTCCATTGAAAAACAACTCAAACAAAAGTACATATAACAGTGCTGACTTTTTCAGATGAAAAATCTTTATGTGTAAGATGTTCTTGAGGTATTGTTAAATTGTATTATCTTTGGTAATAAAGTTAATAACAGGATTGATACAGACATTCAATAATATAGATATTCTACCACGTTTGCAAGGTAACCAAAACTATCATGTTTCCTGAAATAGTAACAAATTGTATATTTAGCTTGAATTTTACTGTTTTCATAGCAAGTTTTGTGTCTGTACTGTTTACAGCCTGTATCCCAACCAGCTGGAGTTGAACAACAAGCAGCTCTTCTAAAACCAGATTTAGTTCGAAGGTAAGTATCTTCAAATTAATACCATGAGAACAATAAGGATATGCTGAAGTTTGTGTACTCATTAAGTGTTCAGTGTATCTTGACTAGAGAAGCTTCTGTGTTCTTGTACTTGTGTGGGTGTTTAATAAAAATGATAGATATTATTTTTACTTTTTTATGTCAGTAGGGATCATATGGATTGGGCGGTTAACTGATGATTTTCTTGTTGTATTTATTTATACCTTTCTGTTCTAGGAAAAGCTGGTAAGGGTTAAGGAAGGAAGGAAGAAACAAAAGAGTTTAGAGTAAAATTCTAGCTAATCTAAAGAAATAAATGACAACCGTATATATAATTGTATTTTTAGTAGGTAAAAACTAGTACTTTTCTGTATAAAAAATAGATTGGATAGTTTATATTGTTCTATCTTCAAGTTCATTGATTCCTTTGTTTTACTCATTCTACTATTAGGCCTGTTCAGTGAGATTTTTAAAAAAAATTTCTGCAGTTGTTTAGTTCTATACTTTCTATGTGGTTCTTCTTGATATCTTCTATTTCTTTTATAAGATTTTGTTTTTTCATTTGCCTCAAGATTATTTGTGATTGCTCATTGAAGAATTTTGATGATAGCTGCTTTAAAATTCTTGTTAAAGGCTGGGCACAGTGGTTTACTGCTGTAATCCTAGCACTTTGGGAGGCTGAGGCAGGCGGATCATGTGAGGCAGATCAGAAGTTTGAGACCAGCCTGGTCAACATGGCGAAACCTGTCTCTACTAAAAATACAAAAATGAGCTGGTGTGGTGGCACATGCCTATAGTCCCAGCTACTTGAGAGGCTGGGACCTGGGGATTGCTTGAACCTGGGAGGCAGAGGTTACAGTGAGCTGACATCACACCGCTGCTCTCCAGCCTGGGCAACAAAGCGAGACTCTGTCTAAATAAATAAATAAATAACATTCTTGTTAGATAATTCTAATATCTGACTCATCTTTTTTTTTGAGGTGGAGTCTGACTCTGTTGCCCAGGCTACAGTGCGATGGCACAATCTCGGCTCACTGCAACCTCTACCTCCCTGGTTCCAGTAATTCTTGTGCCTCAGCCTCCCAAGTAGCTGGGATTACAGGCGCCTGCTACCATGCCTGGCTAATTTTTGTATTTTTAGTAGGGTCAGGGTTTCACCATGTTGGGCAGGCTGGTCTCAAACTCTTGAGCTCAAATGATCTGCTCACCTCAGCCTCCTAGAGTGCTGGGATTATAGGCATGAGCCACAGCACCTGACCTCATCTTATTCTTGTTAGATGATTTCAATAACTGTTTTATCTTGGTGTTGGCATCTGTTGATTACCTTTTCATATTCAAGTTGTAATTTTTCTAGTTTTTGTTATGACAAAGGAGTTTATTTTCATTTGTCTCCTATGCTTTTGGATATTATGTCAGGTGAGTGTAGATCCTATTTAAGTCTTTTTTTTTTTTTTGAGACAGTCTTACTCGGTTGCCTAGGCTGGAGTGCAATGGTGTGATCTTGGCTTACTGCAGTCTCCACTTCCCAGGTTCAAGCAATTCTCCTGCCTCAGCCTCCTGAGTAGCTGTAATCACAGGCATGTACCACCATGCCCAGCTAATTTATTTTAATACAGATGGGGTTTCGCCATGTTGGCCAGGCTTGTCTCAAACTCCTGACTTCAGGTGATCTGCCCACCTCAGCCTCCCAAAGTGGTGGGATTAGGCATGAGCCACCTGGCCTGTTTAAATCTTCTGTGTTAGCAGGGGGTCACCCTTGTTTAGATGCATAGGTTCTGGCCTACTTTTGTGGGCTGTAATTCTGATGACAATTTAGTTTTCAAAGTCCTTACAGCACTGCTATTCTGATCTGTTTTGTTCACCTGGAACCCCTGGCCCCCACGGCGGGGCCAAGAGGTACAGAATGTTTCCCTAGGCCTGCTCCCCCAGACCTCCTCTATGGGTTATACTCTGCTTACTGGTGGGGCCCCTACCAGTGACACTGGGGAAGGACAGGGCCCACTTAAGTCCTCTTCTCTTGCTGGGTTGAGGATCAGGAGACACTGGCCTTGGGCTGCCTTTGCCTCTGGACTGGGAATTGGGAGGCACTGGGCCTGTACTGCCTTTATTCACTGGGTGGGTAATTGGAAGATACCAAGCTGCTATGTTGTTACTCAAGTCCTGGGGGTTCCTAGCCAGTCCACTTTCATCTTTTCATTCTTCTGTGTGCTCCTGTAATTGTCTACTACATTATTTCTAGAACTTTTAGCTATATTTAGAGGAGAGGAGCAGGGAGAGTTGAGTTTCTGCCATCTTGTCCCAACCACTAAACTGATGTGTTAAGTAACTTTGGAATGTGAATTATATAGCCCATTGGCTAAAATTATATTTCTGAAGGGATTATTTGTTACTGCCATGTCTCTGTGGGCAGTATTAATGTATCTTCTTCCACTACTTATAATTATGTAAATTTTTTGTCATATGGACATAAAAAGTTTAGGAGATTTTTATCTCTTCTTGTACATCTATATATAGATGTTTCATGAGTAGTTTTTAGGAGAAATAACTTGCTTAAATTAATTTGAAAGGTATCTATTCCAAAAAGATGTCTGAGATTTAGATCTTGTTAATTGAATTTCAAACATGTTTATTGAAATTTTTGTATTTATTGAAATATGCTTGAGTTCAAAGAAAAACCTGAAAAATGCCTTTGACACAGATAAACTAAAAGGTAGCCTGCCCTTTCATAATAATATTGATGTGAACCTGTGAAATGTAACTAATTAGAATTAATCATGTTGAACTATTTTTACATCATTCATTTTCATTTCTTGTTCTGCCTCCTGCAGAGCACTATTCTTGTCTTCCATACCTGGTCTACACTGTTGAGTTCATTACATAAACAGGTATATTTTGAGTGATAATTGTTTTGGTTTTAGAAGTTTTATTTGAAGATACTAATAAAGTAACCCCTAAACAAACAAGATAAAACCGATCAAGAGCACCCCATAATAAAAGGTTCCACAGAGGTCTAATACTGGCAATGTTTTTCTTTCATTCTCATCACTGTGAGATGTTTGCTAAGTAAATACAATGTGATCTTGATTTTTCATAATAGCCTTTTAAAAAAGCTTTATCGAAACATAATTCACACACCATATAATTCACCCATTTAAAGTGTGTAATTTAATAGCTTTTAGTATATTCACAGAGTTGTGCAAGCATAACTTTTAAAAAGATATTGTAGTATTTATTGGTTTTCCTTAAACTCATTATTGATGGTTTTATAATTGGGAGTTTTTCTTAGAATTTTACTGTCAAGACTGGTATGAGTTACTTTTTAAAAAAAATATTACTAGCTTGAATCAAGATGTGGCAGCTACGAAGGAAAACATCAGTAGCCCTGATAACCCAAGTGGAAATGGCAAACAGGATCGGATCAAACAGAGAAGAGCTTCCTGTCCCCGACCAGAGAAGGGAACTAAATTTCAGCTTACTGTCCTTCAGGTCAGTTTGTCAATATGGTTTTGTTAAGAGTACATATAGAGGTTTGGAGGGTCAGAGAGGGGCAATGCTGCAGAAGTGAGTTGTAGAATATTGTGAAACCCTCTCTAAACTAACCTTTTCTCCATTACAGACTTTCCAGTATGAGTATTATGTGTTCATTCTTAAACTTGGAAAATAGAAGAAAGAAAGAAAAAATCCATTTGTAACCACCATTCAGAGATAGCTCCTATTAATGTTTTAGTTTGTTTTTCTCTCTTTTTTCTGTATGTACATGTAGTGTTTTACATTATAAAGCTTGTGATAGTACTAGTAATCGCAGCAAAAATGTATTGAGTTCTTTTGTGGTAGGCACCCTAAATGTAATCCATGCATTTTATCATTTAATCCTTCAGTAACCCTGTATGATAGGTGGTAGTATATACTCGTCTTTACAAATGAGAATACTAAAGACCAGAGGAGTGAAGTAATTTACTAAGATCACTCAAGTAGCAAGTGGTAGAATCAGATCTGAACCTAGATCAGACTTTAAAGCCCATATCTCTAACCATACTATGTATGTTTCAGTTGGCTGCTTAAACCTATATGAAATTTTATATCCTGTATTTTCAAAAACCTAACATATCGTGTATGTTTTCCTATATCATAAATTTTTTAATAACATGACATTTTAAATGGCTACATTAGATAGCTGCTTATACAGAGAAATAATTTAATCATTCCCTATGTTCTTGGTTTATGTTCTTTCTTTCTTTTTCCCAGTCTGTCTTTTTTCTAACTTGGTGTCTTTTACTCTTTTGTCTGTCTCTCTGTCTATCTTTGCAGCAAAATCCTTGAACATAAATCTTTGTATCTATCCTGGATTATTTGCTTGTTAGATTCATAGAAGTCAGATTCATAGATCAGAATATGAAGATTTTTAAAGTTTCTAGATACGTGTTGCTAGATTGCTGTCCATAAAGATTGGGTCAGTTTACATTTCCATTTTCAGTGCCTCATCTTTTGCTTAGAGTCAATTTATAGATTAAGAGAATTTTGGAAATGAATGATTAAATTTAAATCTTTGCATTGCAGATAGCTCTAGTGACTATTATAACATTTTGCCTTCTTATAAAAGTTGTATTGTTTTCTTTATCACAGGATCACATTTATAACTTATTTTTTACTGAGTAACTTGAACCTGTTAGGTTAGTCATAGAATGACTGTTTAGATGGTATTCCACCAAGGGAAAACATACTCTTTTTAGATTCTGAACTATTTAAGACATTTTCCATGTATATTGTATGTGAACTAGTATAGATGTTCCCTGCACAATTTGCAAAGAGAAGTCAGTGACTAATCCTTCAACTGGTGAAATGTTTGTACGTTTGTACTCAGGTATCAACCTCTGGAGATAACATGGTGGAGTGTCAGCTGGAGACACACAACAATAAGATGGTCACCTTCAAGTTTGATGTTGATGGTGATGTGCCAGAGGATATTGCAGACTATATGGTAAGTGCAGTAAGACCAAATTATCTTCCCTTCAGCATTCTGTCTTTTTTCCCCTATAATTGTCTCCATTTATTTTGAGCCATCATTTTTTAAAGAGTATGATTAGTTTTAAAAAATTGTACAGAGCTCGGCCGGGCACAGTGCCTCACGCCTATAATCCCAGCACTTTGGGAGGCCGAGGCGGATGGATCATGAGGTCAAGAGATCGAGACCATCCTGGTCAACATGGTGAAACCCCATCTCTACTAAAAATACAAAAATTAGCTGGGCATGGTGGTGCGTGCCTGTAGTCCCAGCTACTCGGGAGGCTGAGGCAGGAGAACTGCTTGAACCCAGAAGGCGGAGGTTGCGGTGAACCGAGATTGAGCCATTGCACTCCAGCCTGGGCAACAAGAGTGAAACTCCGTCTCAAAAAAAAAAATTGTACAGAGCTAAATTGGGTTATCATCAACATAAGTCACTGTATCTCCTCTGGTTTCAGTATATTTATCTGGAAAATATGAGGAGGTTTTATTTAGAGACAGTACAGATAAATGGTTCTTATCTCTGACTGCATGTGATTATCATCTGACAAGCTTTTTAAAAACAATTCTATTGCCTGGTCCCCTGATTAAATCAGAATCTTTGGAGGTGACGCCTAAGCATCAATAGTTTGTCAACTCCCCAGGTAATTCTTTTTATTTTTTTTAGTTTATTTTTTTCTGGGCACAGTGGCTCATGCCTGTAATCCCAGCACTTTGGGAGGCCAAGGCAGGAGGATTACTTCAGCCCAGGAGTTCAAGACTAGCCTAGACAGCGTAATGAGTGAGACCTTGTCTTTACAAAAAATTTTAAAATGCCAGATGTGGTGGCCACACTTGTAATCCCAGCACTTTGGGACGCTGAGGAAGGATTGCTTGAGCCCAAGAGATTCAGGCTGCAATGAGCTGTGATCATGCCACTGCATTCCAGCCTGGGCAACAGAGCAAGACTCTTGTCTCAAAAAATTATCTTTTATTATTTTTATTTTTTATAGCAGGCTTTGAAAAACCTATGCCCCCAGGTGATTCTTTTTTTCTGTTTTCTAAAAAAATTTGTGGGTACATAGAAGGTTGATTTATTTATGGTGTACATGAGATATTTCGATGTAGGTATACAATGTGTAAGAATGACATAAGGGTAAATGGGGTGTACCTCCCCAGGTAATTCTAATGTGTTAGCTACTGATCTAACATCTTGCATGTTACTATTTCATTTAGTTTTTAATATTTTCTTTGAATTGTTCGGCTTAAGGTAGTATTTCTTCCCCCTTATTTTATCTATTCATTACTTTTTTCTAAGTTACTTTTGCATCTTCCCCTTTTTTGGTGGGGATAGGACTAGGATGGCAGGAAGAGTGCATATAATACTTCTTGTTTCTGCCAACTTTCCTTGTCCATGCATTTCTAGCCAAGCAGAATTAAACATTTTAAAAGTTATTTCATCAGTTCTGTCTTTTGTTTAACATAGTGTTTTCTGAATTGTCTCTTCTTTCATTCTTTTCATGAATGTTTAGTCTGATTGGTGGTCTTCCCAGCTATTCTTTTTTTTTTTTTTTTTTTTTTTTTGAGATAGAGTCTCACTCTGTTGCCCAGGCTGGAGTGCAGTGGTGCGTTCCTAGCCCATTGCAACCTCCACCTCCTAGGATCAAGCAGTTCTCCTGTCTCAGCCTCCCAAGTAGCTGGGATTACAGGCGCACACCCACAACACCTGGCTTATTTTTGTATTTTTAGTAGAGACACAATTTCTCCATGTTGGCCAGGCTGGTCTTGAACTCCTGACCTCAGGTAATCCACCCTCCTCAGCCTCCCAAAGTGCTGGGATTACAGGCATGAGCCACTGCGCCCAGCCTTCTGAGCTATTTTTTATCACCTTTGGAGATGTTTCATTTTGTGGTTTGTGATTTAAAAGCTTTAGGGTTTGGACATATTAGTTTTAAACATTGCCTCAGTTCTTCAAATAACAAATTTATAGAATGACATTTTTTTAAATGCCGGCTCCTTCTCTGGTAGGTAGTGCCAATCTGAGAAATGTCAGTAGTCATAAATTAGAATAATTTAATGTATTATTTGGCATTTTATTGCTGGTCTTTGTTAATTCTATTGTGTCACTTGGATTTAGATACTTAATTTAATTTTCTTTCTTTTTTTATTTTGAGATGGAGTTTTGCTCTTATTGCCCAGGCTGGGGTGCAGTGGCACGATCTCGGCTCACCATAATCTCTGCCTCCCGGGTTCAAGTGATTCTCCTGCCTCAGCCTCCCAAGTAGCTGGGCTTACAGGCATGCACCACCACGCCTGGCTAATTTTGTATTTCTAGTAGAGACGGGGTTTCTCCATGTTGGTCAGGCTGGTCTCGAACTCCTGACCTCAGGTGATCTGCTTGCCTCGGCCTCCCAGTGCTGGGATTACAGGCATGAACCATCACACCCAGCCCAATTTTCTTTCTTTATGTGGTAGTCATTATTGATATAATATTATAACTTTGAAGAAACTAAATTCATTCTCCTGAAGAGACTTACTTTTACTTTTGGGCAGGTTGAAGACAATTTTGTGCTGGAAAGTGAGAGAGAAAAATTTGTAGAAGAATTGAGAGCTATTGTAGGTCAAGCCCAGGAGATCCTTCATATCCACTTTGCCACAGAAAGAGCCATTGGAGTTGACTCTATTACTATGGACTCCAACAGTAACCAGGTGAGAACAATTGTTTAGCAAATAGATCTTCTCAGATATGAATCAGGAACTTTTTAATTTATCTATTCATTTTAATTCAGACAGGGTCATCTGAACAAGTACAGATAAATTCTGCATCTACTCAAACCAGCAGTAAGTATATTTAGTAAAATCTACCATTTGGTTGTTGAAGCAAGACATTTGAAAACTTCAACACACCTTCATTGGGAAAGATGTTAGCCAATAAATTAATTTGGTAACTTATTAGTGTAGGTTTTCTCACACTTTCAAGGGCCCAGAGGTAATAATCCATCCCCTGACTTTTCCCCAAGTGTTGGTTCTTTATTTGATTAATCTGTTTTTGAGTTGTTGGATCTTGTTACTAGAAAAGCAGTCACAGTACTGATGACCTTAAATGGCATAACTGGTAAGTTATTTTTTTCTGATTTGAGATAAATAGAAACTTTTTAACAAAAATCATCATGTTCTAAGTTTGCCTCATGTTTCAATAGTCATTCATATCTTGATTTTATTCCAGTAACGATGAATGATGGGCTTCTACCCATGCTGGTCACTGATAACTTATTGTAAATCAGATACCGGATAAACTTCCAAAAACTAAAACTAGGGTCTTCTGTTTTCTTTTCTGATGACTTTATCTCTCCATTCCTCAGTTCTGGTCATGGGTATATTAAAGAGTGTCTGGGAGTGGGAGAAGAGCCATAGATAAATGAGGACCTCTGAAGAAATTATAGCAACATAAAGAAGTAAAAGGTGGGATGGGAGTAATAGAAGCAGATCCCATTATCCTGAAATGTAGTTTGACTGTGTTAGGATGCAGAGTCCTCCTATATCTTATTTTTCTGGTTATCCAAGGTCCAAGTAGGTTTCTGACTAACAAAGTTGGGTAAAGTTTAAAAGAGAATTACTTATTTGAATAAGTTTACCAAGTAGCAGTTAAGATGTAGGGGTTTATTTTACTTTATTTAAAAAATTGTCATACAGTAAAACTGACTCCTTTTTCTCTGGTGTATACTTTTATAAATTTTAATACATGTATAGATGTATGTAAGCACTGTCATAATTAAGATACAGAATAGGGGATACAGGTTTTAATGGGAAAAATGTTGTCAATTTTTTCAAAGAGTACCCTGTTTCTAATTGCTATGATGCAGTGTTTGTTTCAGTAGAATCTAAAATCCTTCTCTAAAGATATTGTGTGCTTAGCACTTTAGACTTTTTGTCGGTATTGGGAGGGCTGGTATTACAAATTACATATGTTTTAGTAGTATTAGAAATGGAGATACCAGAGAAATTATTTTTTTAACCTGCCTTCTTCAGTCAGTAAGGTAAATAAATTGAAAATTGCTTAGCATATTATTTTTTGCTAATTATTTCTGCAGATGAATCTGCTCCTCAGTCATCCCCAGTTGGTCGGTGGCGATTCTGTATCAATCAAACAATAAGAAACCGTGAGGCTCAGTCTCCTCCTTCTCTTCAGCATTCCATGTCTACGGTTTCTGGCCTACATCCACTTCCTAGTAAGCTTTTCTTGTCTGCCAGCTTTGTCCACATTCAAAGGATGGGATGCAAAATACATATGATATCTTTAACTAATTTCCATGGGAATTTTATGCTTCCGAGAATTTTCATAAGCATTTTTGAAGACAGTAATATTAGGATACAGCTTAAGCCAGTTCCTGTTTAATATTTATGGGAAAAAAGGAAAACACTTTCTTTCCTTGACAGGTTGAATTCTGTGTGTTTTGAGTCTTATTTACTTTCACACAGGTTCTCATTTGCCCCTTTCTCCTATTCCTTTTGACTTGGGGCACTAGTCTATGCTTTGTACTCATTAGTATGTGCTTAGCCATTCTTTATTATTGTTCCAGGTCCAAAAAAAACAAGTAATAAGGAAATATCACGGGATACACTGCTCACTATAGAAAATAATCCATGCCACCGCGCACTCTTCACCTCCAAATTAGAACACAAGAATGTGATTGATGGTAAGATTTCTGAGTGTGCTAGTGTACAAACCAAGCAGCCAGCTATACTTTATCAAGTGGAAGATAACAGGCAGATAATGGTACCAGTTACTAGTAGTTCTGCCTACCCTACTACTTCAGTTCATGCAGTTCCAGCTGAATGTGAGGGACTCACCAAACAAGCGAGCATATTCATACCTGCGTATCCATGTCACCAAACTGCCAGTCAGGCTGATGCACTTATGTCCCATCCTGGCGAATCAACTCAGATTGCTGGTAACTCTGTTACGACTCTGGCATTTGATCAAAAGCCTCAGACCTTATCAGTGCAGCAGCCAGCTATGGATTCAGAGGTTATTTCCCAAGAAGGAGAAACTACAGTGAACACTGAAACAAGTTCTCCTAAGACAGTCATTCCCACTCAGACCCCTGGCCTTGAACCAGCTACCCTTCAACCCACTACTGTCCTGGAATCAGATGGAGAAAGACCTCCAAAACTGGAGTTTGCAGACAACCGAATTAAAACTCTGGATGAAAAATTAAGAAACTTGCTCTATCAGGAGCACAGCATCTCTAGCATCTATCCTGAGAGTCAGAAGGATACCCAAAGCATAGATTCTCCATTTTCTTCCTCTGCTGAAGATACCCTCTCCTGTCCAGTGACAGAAGTCATAGCCATCAGTCACTGTGGAATTCAAGATAGCCCTGTACAGTCCCCTAATTTCCAACAGCCAGGCTCTAAAATTCTGTCCAATGTGGCTGCAAGTCAGCCTGCTAATATATCAGTATTCAAAAGGGACCTGAATGTGATAACTTCTGTACCCAGCGAATTGTGTTTACACGTAAGTATCATTCTTTCTAACCAGTTCCTTACTCTTTGCTTATTGTTTTAAAGAAATGCCTTCTCTTCTAAAATTCTGTCCTTTGAAATGAAATGGTCTATGTCACAAGATTCTGAGGTCACAGGTATTTAAGAAAACCATGACTTTAGGCTGCAGGTGTTCAGAACCTCAGTAGAGATGACAAACTATCTTTGGTAAGAGAGCCCTCTGGTGAATTAGCTAAGAACTTGCAAGCAGTGTCTATATTTATATTAATGACATAACAAAAACTGACTCATGGATTGTTTTAGAGGGTAGGAAGAACTTTTAGATTTTCATTTAAAATGCTGGTTATCAGTTTCCTTCTTTAAAAAAAAGTTATGGTTTTTAATTTAACCATGTTTGGGGGGATTTAATTTGACAAAACAAAAAAGAAAGTAAAAATCATCATTAATCTCATGCCTTTTTCCTCCCCAAGACCGAGTCTTGCTCTGTCACTCAGGCTGGAGTGCAGTAGTGCAATCTCAGCTCACTGCAACCTCCACCTCCCAGGTTCAAGCAATTCTCCTGCCTCAGCCTCCCAAGTAGCTGGGATTATCGGCATGCGCCACCATACCCGGCTAATTTTTATATTCTTAGTATAGACGGGGTTTCACTACATCGGCCATGCTGGTCTCAAACTCTTGACCTTTTGATCCCGCCTTGGCCCACCTAAGCCTCCCAAAGTGCTGGGATTACAGGTTTGAGCCACCGTGCCCTGCCTGACTTATTTTTTGAGTTATATAATGTAGGAACTTTAATTTTCTTTTTCTGCCCCTTTAAATCACAGAAGTAACCACTAATAATTTGGTGCTTATCCTTCTGGACTTTTCTTAAGCTTATACAGATCGATTAGTTACATCTAACATTCACAAAAGACTGTGCTGTATACATATTGATCTGCAACTTAATTTTTTCATTTTATAGTATATCATGGACATCTTTTTAAATCTTTGTCATTGTATGTTTTTGTCATTATTATATAAGTAATAATATATACTTGTACATAAAGTAAAATCCACCCCATCCCCAAACGTATATACACAGCTGTTACCAAATCTTTCCAGACATGATTTTAATATACAAATATTTATAAAGACATACTTCTTATATATGATATTTTGTATCTTTATATAGATATAGATACATGTTAATATTAATATGCATATACTTCTTTACATATATATGCTATTCTGCATTTTTTTCATTTATGGACATCTATCCATGTCAGTACACATAGTTCCATCTTACTTAACTTTTTGAAACAACTGCATAAGATTCTACTGATAAAATTTAAATATTTTTTTGAGTTTTAATTATTTTAAATAAATAAATATGATCACATAATATGATTCAAATCTTAAGAAATGAACTGTTATGGGCCAGGCGCGGTGGCTCAAGCCTGTGATCCCAGCACTTTGGGAGGCTGAGGCGGGTGGATCACGAGGTCAAGAGATCGAGACCATCCTGGTCAACATGGTGAAACCCCATCTCTACAAAAATACAAAAAATTAGCTGGGCATGGTGGCACGTGCCTGTAATCCCAGCTACTCAGGAGGCTGAGGCGGATAACAAGAGCAAAAACTCTGTCTCAAAAAAAAAAAAAAAAAAAAGACAAAAATAACAGTTCATTTCTTTTTTTTTTTTTTGAGACGGAGTTTCGCTCGTTACCCAGGCTGGAGTGCAATGGCGTGATCCCGGCTCACCGCAACCTCCGCCTCCTGGGTTCAGGCAATTCTTCTGCCTCAGCCTCCTGAGTAGCTGGGATTACAGGCACGCGCCACCATGCCCAGCTAATTTTTGTATTTTTAGTAGAGACAGGGTTTCACCATGTTGACCAGGATGGTCTTGATCGCTTGACCTTGTGATCCACCCACCTCAGACTCCCAAAGTGCTGGGATTACAGGCGTGAGCCACTGCGCCCAGCCATCTGTCATTTAAACTTTATTGCTCAAATGAGACTCTCTCAAGTGTCAAGGTCAAATGGATTCTTCTGTCTGTTTCAAGTGTCTGTTGCTACATCTGGATCATACTTAGCTGCCACTGTTTCTGGTGTCCTGGAATTCTTTTTTTTTCCCCTAAAATGCTTCTATGAGTAATATTTTCAAATATGTTGCATGAGTATCCTATTTGATATTTTTTTATGTCCAAAAATGTCTTTATATTGCTTCACACTTGATTGACTGAGTATAGATGGTAGGATCAGAATTTTTTCCTCTTAATTTGGAAGACATTGTTTTATTGTCTTTTATTAGCTTTAGGTATTGCTGATGAAAGTGATGTCAGTTGTTTATTATTCGTTCATAGGTAACCTGTATTTACTCTAGACCACTGCAATGCTCTAATACTTTCTACAATGTGGAAACGTTCTATATCTGCACTATCCAATACAGTAACCATTAAGCAAATATGACTACTGAGCACTTGAAATGTGGCTAGTGCAACTGAGGGCCTGAATTTTTAATTTAATTTAAATTAATTTAAATTTAGACAGCCACATGTGATTAGTAGCTACTGTATTCAATTTGCATAGGTCTAGTTGCTTTAGGAAACTATCTTGGAGTTCTCATCATCAGAGTATTTCTAGGTATATCGCTTTCCCATTCATTTTGTATATCACTTTTGTGGATGCTTCGAATTTGAAGATTTGTGTCTTTTTTTCAGCTCCAGTAAACTTTATTTTTGCTTCTTTTTTTCTTCCCCTTCATTGTCTTGCTTATTTCCATTTAGAAACTGTAGGAGATACATAGCCTCTTGGATTATCCCCCATGTTTCTTAACAGCTTGCTCTCACTTTTAATTTTATTTTGTAAAACCTTATGTTCTCAGATATGTCTTCAGTGTTTTTTTCTTTTTAAATTTCAGATCATTCTCTTGGTATTCAGCTGTATCCAGTTAATTTTTCATTTGGCAGTCATGAATTTGATTTTTTAAATCTTTCTTATTCTTGGCTCCATTTTCATAGCAACCTATTTTTGCATATAGTTTTCTTCCAAGCTTTTTTCTCAGAAAACTGACAAAATATTAACTCTAAAATATATAAAGAATGCTTACAAATCATTGAGAAAAGATCAGACAACTCAGTGGAAGAATAGCCAAAGCATCTGAACGTGCATTTCACAGAAGTGGAAATAGAAATGCCTGCTAAACATGTGAAAAGATTTTCAACTTTCTTAGTAATAAGAGAAAGGCAAAATTTTAATGAAAAAAAAAAAAAGCTTTTTGCTAATCACACTAGCAAGTATTAAGGAAATTGATGGTCAGATGTGATAATTTTCATTTTGTGTTGGTAGGAATAAAATCAGTGCAGCCTACTTGAAGGGCAATTTAGCACTGAAAGTTAGAAATATGTGCATTCCTGTGACTGAGCTATGTCACTGTCAAATTCTACCTGAGAGAAGCATTTGCATATATGAACAAAAGAAAATATATAAGAATGTTCAGTGTAACATTGTTTGATTATATGTAACAGGAAGATTCACGGCCAGGCATGGTGGCTCACACCTGTAATCTCAACGCTTTGGGAGGCTGAGGCAGGTGGATCACCTGAGGTCAGGAGTTTGAGACCAGCCTGACCAAAATGGTGAAACCCCGTCTCTACTAAAAATACAAAAAATTAGCCAGGTGTGGTAGTGGGCACCTGTAATCTCAGCTACTCAGGAGGCTGAGGCAGGAGAATCCCTTGAACCCAGGAGGTGGACGTTGCAGTGAGCCGACGTTGGGCCATTGCACTCCAGCCTAGGCAACAAGAGCAAAACTTCATCTCAAAAAAAAAAAGTTAAGAAAAGATTTACAAACAAGTTTAAATATTTGTAAATAGAAATTTAGGGACATTGATACTATGAAACAATTTGAAAGCACGAAGTAGATCTATAAATAAATGTTAGCTATTATCATCTTTATTTTAGCATGGACATATCTCCAAAATCATCAGGAAAAATATACACAGAATAATTCAGACAGTATGATGAGGTGTGTGTGTTTGAGACAGGGTCTCACTCTATTACCCAGGCTGGAGTGCAGTAGCATGATCATGGCTCACTGTAGCCTCAACCTCCCGAGCTTAGGTGATCATCCCCTTGCCTCAGCCTCCCAAGTAGCTGGGACTACAAGTGTGTGCTACCATGCTTGGCTCATTTTTTAATTTTTTGTAGAGACATGGTCTTGCAATGTTGCCCAGTCTGGTTTTGAACTCCTGGCTTCAAGCGATGCTCCTGCCTTGGTCTCCCAAAGCAGTGGGATTACAGACATGAGCCACCACACCTGGCCTCCTGTGTTTTTGAAAAGGAACACACACACACGCACATGCACACACACATATGTACAAAAAAGTTCTGAAAAGATAAACTGATATTAGCAGGTATCTTCTAGGAGGACTGGGAAAGAGGATTGTTACAGAGAATTTTGTTTTATGTAATGGTTTAGATCTTTTACCGAAAACAGTTAATTCATGTTATAAACCAAAATGTATCTAAGGCATGTCTCAATCAATTTAGAAGTTTATTTTGCCAAGATTAAGGACATGCCTAGAAGTGAGGAAACATGTAATCACAGATACAGTCTGTGGTCTGTGCCTTTCTCCAAAGATGATTTTGAGGGCTTAAATATTTAAAGGGGAAAAGCAAGCTGGAGGGGAAAAAGGGAGTTATGGTAATCTACATGTTGCAAGAGAAAAAGAGCAGGTAGGAGAATAGTCAATTATGTATTCATCTCACAGTTTTGCTCAGTTAATCAGCACTTTACGTAAGATAAGGTGAACATAGGGTAGCTATCTCTGGAGGTAGTTAACCTTTCATTTGTAGTTGTCTGCTTAGGAACAAGATGAAATGTAGTTTCTTGCATGAGAGCTTTCAGCTTAATTTTTTTTCTTTTCGGCGTAGTGAATTAGGGTCCTGAGGTTTTGTTTTCCTTTCATAATGTATTACTTGTAATTTTTTTAGATGAAAAAGTTCTTCCTGAAACATGTTAAAAGAAAACAGCTTT